GTTTGTTGACAGGAACGCATAAGCGAGAACACATTACACCAATACTGGCTTCCTGTTCATTTTAGAATCGATTTTAAGATTTTGGTCTTAGTGTTTCAATCACTAAATGGACTAGCACCAAGATACCTTTTTGATTTAAAGGGGTCATATGACGTTGCTAAAAATAACATTATTTTGTGTATTTTGTGCAATGCAATGTGTTTATGCGGTTTAAGGTTAAAAAACACATTATTTTCCACATACTGTACATTATTGTTTCTCCTCTATGCCCCGCCTTTCTGAAACATGTCGATTTTTACAAAGTTCATCGGTCTGAAACGCGAGGTGTGCTGTGATTGGCCAGCTATCCAGTGCGTTGTGATTGACCGAATACCTCAAGCGTGTGACGGAAATGTTACGCCCCTCACCATACTGTGATGCCCATGTCCGGCCGGAGTGACGAGACAAAAACATTAAAACCCATTATAAACGAGGCATTTGTTGCATCCAGTGGGGACATAATTACGGATTATAATGACTTATACTGTCCTTTTATGCGTTGCAACGCGCCGCGTAAACATAAAACCATGTCTGCATTTGTGATCGGAGAAATGACAAACTACAAGCGCTACTCTACACTGCCCAAAACTCGCATTTGAATCGTCAGTGGCAGGGCCGGATTTATGCATAGGCATTCTAGACACGTGCCTATGCTCGCTCGTCCAGGGGGGGCCCAAACACAATGAAGAGAGATTTTTGCTGCATCTCAATGTACCTACTTATACTACGCCCTTAAAGTATGTACTCTTTTGGTGAAGAAAAATACACACTTTTGAGTGTGTAGTAGAAGAGTAGGCAAGCTTTGGGACATAGGCCTACTATCACGTCACACAACTGCGTCTTTAACGGACCGCTCTGTAGCATAGCTACATGCACCCTGTCACTGTAAACTGGCCTGTCAATCATCTTGTCCAAGTTACCATCCTCCACATTGCATTTCACTTAACTTCCAACCGTATTGGAGAGAAAAGAAGTAGCACATTGATCTGCCAGTCGCGGGTCTTTCATGCAGAGAACTCTGCTCATATTTTATGCATTATGATGCATTTAAAAGTTAACGACCAAATGGATGTTTATAAAAGTTTACATTGCTGTTGCAGATTAAATATAACACAGATAACATTAAAATTAATATTTTTTTATCAGATTAAATGTTGAATATTAGTAACCTAATTCCCTTTCTAAGCCTTTCTACCTAACCGCCGGTCATGCATATCTGCCATGTTTGTAGTTTTTAACGCGTTTTATTCGTGTTTGTAGTTCTGGACAGAATCCTTCACCAAAGCGCAATGGATTGTGGGCAATGTTAGCCATTAGAGTGTGCACGGATCCACACTTCAAAAATCGACCTGAAATAGTAGACCACCCGGGGACTTTTGGCATACTCTTTTCAACATACTATGCTTTGGGACACACTTATTCTAATCTCACATACTATTTAGGACGGATAGTATGAACATTGAGACACAGGGATATAATTTTTTTTTAAACTATGGGCAATCTACAAGAGTAAAAGAACCAAAACCCCAGAAGACAAATATAACAACCAATAGGGTAAAAATGACAAACTATTTCCATGTTTTCCACCTTTTTATGTAGCTACGGAAATTGCGCTTTCTTTCTCCCGTTCTCATTCTCAGACACGCACACACACAGACGCGCACACACAGAGATGCGGACAGAAATTAGTTGTCAGCGCTGCCCCGTGAATTTATCAATAAAATAGTTTCACAGCTGAAAAGCTACATGACATCTCTTAGTAGCGAGGTTCTTGAAGCAGTTCAACTAAAAGATTCACTTTTAGTAGATGCTGCTGCTGAGAGACGCACCGACGCAGGTATTCACATGCGTTTAATCTCTCTCTCTAATAACTGCATTAGCCTGCATATCAATAGTGCAAGTCTGTTATTAGCTATAAAATGACATTTTGGAATTTGCAACTGAATGTTTGGGATGAGGTGCGTAAGAAATTACTTCAACAAACACAAGATTTCAGGATGGAAGCATGACAGATGTCTTGAAATAAACCATCTGAACAATGTCTTGAGGTGGTTGTGTGTTACGGGGCGAACGAGACATGAGACGTGCGGATTCATTTGCAAAGCTTTAATAGGAGACAAAGATGTGGTCATAAAACAGGCATGGGTCAGACAATGGCAAACAGGTATATTGAGGGCAAGACAGAAGAGTAATCCAAAACGGGCGGGGTCGATAAGCGGCTAACAATATCCAGAGGGCTTGACATGAGGGGTTATCCAATAACACGAGCTAGAGCCAGGCGAGGTGCAAACACAGTCCGAAACAGCAGGCAAAGGGTTAACTCAAGATAAACAGGCAAAAATCAGGTACCAGGAAATCAGAAAAAACGGCGAGACTAAACTAAGACTAGAACTAGGAACTAACACAGGGAAAAGGCTCCATAAAGTCGCTATCACACGATAAGCGCTAAACAATACTCGGCAGTTTAATGGATGATGGGATATGTAGTCCGGGATGACATGCAACAGTTTGTGTAGTGCGAGAGTCAATGTAATGGAAGGGTGACCTCTGGAGGTGTCCATGGACAGGATTCGTGACACTGTGACTCCAGGCCATTGAAATTATTAGAGAAATAATGCACTCCCAAAAGTGGTATGGCCACGACGCCGGAGCCTATTAATGGAACGGTTCTCCGTTCTCAAAGAAAGAACTACATTCGATCTTTATTGACTGATAATATTTACCAAAAGAAATGGTCGTAACTCTGAACATACAGTAAGTGCATGTTGTGATAGAAAACACTGTAACAGTTTCCACTGATTACGAAACTTATTTTACCGAGGAATTTACCAATTAATTCTTTAAAAATCCTACAATGTGATTTTCTCTGGATTTTTTTTCTCATTTTGTCTCTCATAGTTGAGGTATACCTATGATAAAAATTACAGGCCTCTCTCATCTTTTTAAGTGGGAGAACTTGCACAATTGGTGGCTGACTAAATACTTTTTTGCCCCACTGTATATCGATAAGGAAGGGGGGCCCAAAAACTTGTTTTGCCTATGTCACGATAAGAGGTCAATCCGGCTCTGGTCAGTGGCAAATTCTTTAAATATGAAAATGTACTTACAGGCTGTTTGACTGATAATATTTACCAAAAGAAATGGTCGTAACTCTGAACATACAGTAAGTGCATGTTGTGATAGAAAACACTGTAACAGTTTCCACTGATTACGAAATATTTTTGTTTGCTGGGGTGCTAATATTATATATCGATAAGGAAGGGGGGCCCAAAAACTTGTTTTGCCTATGTCACGATAAGAGGTAAATCCGGCTCTGGTCAGTGGCAAATTCTTTAAATATGAAAATGTACTTACAGGCTGTGAGTCAGAAGCACCAGACTGTCCTTGCAAAAGTTGGAACTGCCCCACTTTATAGAAACAACTCTCCCGGGATCAGGAAACAGTGCTCCGTAAAATGCGCTGCACACATCTGAATATTTGGGTTGAACTGTTCTGGAACAGTGTTGTAAATACAACTTAACCACTGATTTCTAGTCGTGTCCTCTTTAGGAAGACCAAACAAAGTAGTTTCGCTTTCACAACGAAGCACACAGCGTCTTCACGACATGACGGCGGCGGCAACAATACTACAGCGAGAATAAAAGTTATGCTTCTTCTCTGCGTGAACATTTGGGCGGCGTTATGCTAATCTTCCCACGCAGTGATGTTGACATGTGGGGGCGTGCCTAAACGAGGCGTTTTAGGAGGGCATGGATGAGTCTTTGGATTTGAGGCTTTAGTCTTTGCAACTTTACAGATCTTCTTTATGCACCAAGAGCTTGTAACACTCCAAAGAGAAAGGAACAATTGAAATCGCATCATATGACCCCTTTAATACGGCTACACACTCTGTCAAGGGCACTTAGATGTGCTGAGCATTTATTTTTGGTTGTTCCTCGCACAAGGTTAAAAACTAGGAGGGACCGTGGCAGCCCCAAAAGCTCTCCACATTAGGTTTCTGTTTTTAAATCTAGTCTCAGAACTCATCTCTAATCTTTGGCATTTAACACAGTATGAGAGCAGGTTTTATGATTGTGTCTGTCTTCTGTGTGTTTATTGTTTTATGTCGAGCACGCTTGTACAGCACTTTGGTAAACACTTGTTTTTTTAAAAAGTGCTTTATAAACCAACTTTGACTTGACTATTGTATATAACATATACAATAAATTATACATAAAATAAAATATGATAAAGAAAAATAATTGTAAATATTTTATTTAAGAAAAATAATACATAACAAACATTTATAGTGTGGAAGCTGTATATTTATACATTTAATAATATATATTAAACTGTCTATATATTGCAAGATTTTAATTCAGTGAACCCTGGAGTGATGATGGTTTTGCCTCAGGAGGATAAATAAATAAATGACTAGACGATTAAGTATTTTACAGCATAACGATTACAAAAAATACACTTTCTATGCCTTTCCATGCTTCAAAATCGCCATTTTTATCATTCACTGACATTACTTCCCTTTGTAACATCTAAGAAAGTGGCCAAAAACTATTTTTAAAATCTGTAGTAACACTCCGAAACAGAGCTTTGTCAAACAATTACCATAACACTACCATCCCGATATTCAATATATATATGTATCACTAATAACAACAACAATGTAACAATGTAACAGAACAAAAGACACAAATCAGTGTAGAGTTGCGAAACATGACACTTTCGTTTTCAATTCGGTGATATGGAGAGTTTCTGAACTTACCTGTCGCTGCGGACCGGAGAGTAACAACTGCAAGCACGTAACTCACCTAATAAACTTCAGTTTGTAGATTAATTTGAAACAAAGTAACTCGCTCTATTTGTAACACTGTAGCTCCTCTCGCTTCCCGTAAGAACTGCCCACAGACGTGCGCCCCCTGCTGGCACACCGCACACCGCACGTGTCCTTCATAGTTTACACAGTATCTGTCACTCCACATCAAGCAGCACCAAAACAACATTTATTGTTTGAATACTGTAATAAAATGGACATAACTTGAAATCTGAGACTTTGTTTCATATCAGAAGTAACAAATCGCAAAGCTCATTGTGGGAGGCACGCTACAATGTTCCGTTCATCTGAAAACAGGCTAGACTAATCGATATCATTTCGTAAAAATGAGAATCGATTAAAATCGAGAAATCGATATTTTTCACCCAGCCCTATCGCATGGGTTTCTTTCTTCACTGGTGGACTTTTAGCCACGGCTTCTTCCAAAGATGCGCAAAATGTATGAGAAGATTTGAATGATGTCCAGATACAGGTTGAGCGCGGCGAAGACGTGTTCCTCGGGACTCACAGACAGATTCTTGTTCCCGAGAAGCAGCTGTGTGTCCACGGCCAAGAACTGCAATATAATAAGATGTTATTTCATTTAATTCTGTTGCATATGAATTTTGCTGAATATTTTAATTTATTTTAATTATTTTTAAATGATTTATTTAGATAATAATATAAATAAATAATTATTGCATTATAATTGAATTCATTTTTAGTAAGAGTTTTATTTTTTATTTTAATAATAAATAATTGATTTTATTTTACATTATAATTGAATACATTGCTAGTAATGATTTATTTTGATAGTTTTTTTTATAATAAACCATTTATTTACTTATTAGACATTATAATTTAGTATCTTTTAGTAATGTTTTATTTTGCTTGTTCAGTAATTATTTTAATAATATATTATTAATTTATTTGTTTTACATTATGATTTAATACATTTCAGTAGTTTTCTTTTGTTTGTTAAATTGCTCGTATCAGAGCGATCGGTGTAGACATCAAAGTACCGCAAGAGCTATAGAGAGCAGACAGCTCCTTACGCTTTTGAATCGCTCTCGCGGGACTTTGATGTCACACACCAATCGATCGGTGCAGCGCCGTTTCAAAGCCAACGCGCCTAATAATTCACCCAATTCGTTCAAAACGTGCATTAAGAAATGAAATGCCGATGTGTGTTGCTCAGAGACAGAAACAGTTCTGCTTTGACTTTATATCTTCGTTGGCAAAATTGAGCAAAACAGACAACATTGTGTCTAAAACAACACAATATTAAATAAATAGTTCAGCCATGAAACTCTATTCGCATCCCGATTGGTTCATTCAATCGTAACGCCTCCAACCAATCGGCTTCACGCATTCATTACTAGTCCCTCTATATAACCTCGTCTCATACAAACCTGTGCATAGTCACTGTGCGCTATGACAGCTCTCTCTTTAACCCTCCACCTCCCCAGCACCACCTGCCTAGATCTGCTTGGGGGGACTACCTCTCTCTTTCTTGCAGCAGCATGTTTTTTATTATGTTCTTTTGCAGAAGCAAGTTATACTTGCTCTGCTGCAGCCGCGTAGCAGATCTAGTCCGCCAATACCAAACCTATGTACATCTTCATTTACATTAATAAAATGTTTTACAAACTATTCCGAGAGTTGTCATGACTGAACTTCTTATTTACTGAACTGTTGTATAAGATCAGTATTTGCACTCATGTGATATTGCACTATTATACCGCTTAACTATATGGTGTAATTAAGAGACAAAAACTCAAACAGGGGGTATTTTTGCCCCATATCTTGAATTTTAGGGACATTCTAACTAGGGTCTGGAGCGGGGCAAGTGCGTTAAATGCGTTAATAATTTTAACACATTATTTTTCAGCGTAATTTATTAATCTAACGCGTTAAATTACCAGCCCTAAAATAATATATTTTAACAATAATTTACTTATTTATTTTACATCATACAGTAATTTAACACATTTCAGTGTTTATTTATGTACTTAAATACATAATTATGTATTTCAATAATAATATAAATAAACAACATAAATAAGAAATTATTTATCTATCTTGCATTATAAATGAATACATTTTTAGTTTATTTTGATTGTTTTTTATTTATTTTAATAATAAATAATATATTTTATTTTACATCTTAATTGAATACATTGTTAGTAACGTTAGTGACGATTGTGTTTTAAATGATTTATTTTAACAATAAACCATTTATTTACTTATTTTACCTTAAAATTTAGTATCTTTTAGTAATGTTTTATTTTGTATGTTTAGTAATTATTTTAATAAAATATTATTCATTTATTTATTTTACATTATGATTTAATACATAATTTTTCTTTTCTTTGTTAAATTACTTATTTTAATGATACATTATAATTTAATAAATTTTTAGTATTATTTTATTTTGTTTTTTTAATTGTTTATTTTTGATTAAATACATTTTAGCAAGTGTTTTATATTAATGAATTTTTTAGCTTTTAATCAACTCGTCTACCCGGGTCTGAAAAACCCTGCCCAAAACAACCGTGTTGTAGAGAAGCAATGACTTACGCAGGTGAAGATCAGCGCTCCCAGAGCTGCATAGATGAGGTCCAGAATCCTGTGGTACAGGAAGATGCACAGGATCCCGAAGAACATCAGGACGATGAAGCAGACGAACAGCACGCCGTAACAGGAAGTGAAGTCATATTTGGTCTGCGATTGGACAGGAGACGTCAGTTATTAAAATCAGCTCATGTAGATGAGGGATGGGAATCATATCTCTTGTGCTTCCGATTCTTTTATTACTGTACAAGAAGTTCTGAACAATACAATAGAAATACTTCAGGAGTATTTTAGCACACTGTTCCATTCACATCAATGCAGTTGTTATTGTTAACTAAAACTAAACCATAAAAAAATACATTCGCTACTTGAAATAAAATAAAAGTGAATTGAAATAAAATATAGTTACCAGTTAATTTAACTTGATAAAAGATTGATATAAAAATAACAAAATATATATTTATAAAATGTATTTATTTATTTAAATTCAGGGTTAACTAAAACCATAAAAAATATTTAATCACTTGAAATACAATAAATGTTAACTTAAATAAAATTAAATATTAAAAACTCAAACTTGTTTTACTTCAGCTAGTTGCCAAGGAAACATTTCTCATTTTCATTTAGTTTAACCTTAACTACTAAAATTACTAAAACTAAACTTTTAAACTAAAATTTTAACTGAAATTAAAAATGAACTGAAACTAATAAATAAAAATGAATAAAAACTACGTAGAAATATTGTAAAAAAAAAAAAATTCAATTCAATTCTAAATTACTTTTTTGAAAAATAATTCAATTCAAAATATTAACACAAATGATAAAAGTATATTATTGATACTAAAATAACACTGGGCAGATGTTTTCGACAATCTTTCGGTTGCAGTACTTTTATTAACATTGCAATTAAAAGCATGGAAATATTTGTTTGCTATGTTTGTTGCTGACGTGCAGTTCTCGGTTTCCAAATTAAAACAGAAAGACAAGCGCTGACCTGCAGAGAGAAGACGATGACCGTGAAGCAGACCAGCACAGTGATGCCGACGGCCATCATCACGACATCAGTGTCGTAGAAGCTGGAGATCACGCCCACCATGTAGGACATCGCCAGCGTCAGGATACTCTGAGACGCAAGAAACCGTTTATTATTATGCATTATGAATTTATGTCTGTTTTACATTTGAAAAAGCCTCATCAGAGATTCACCAGAGCAATGAGGTTCCACGGATGCTTCCTGCGAAACTCTCCGCAGCACAGGATCACTAGGTAGGGCACGAGGAAGACTACGTAGCCGGCCAAGTACGTCCAGGCGTTCTGCATCACGAACAGCTTGACGTGAGGCTCGAAAGTGAAGACGGCCACGAAGCCGCAGGTGACAGCCAGCTGAAGACTCAAAACCGAAAAAACCTGCAAAACACAAATTAAACCACATCAAAACTCACTGCTGGGTTTTAACTTGTGTCATACCAGGGCTATTATAATTAATACAACTACTAGAATGAAAAACTTTTTCTTTACTTGAAATAAAAGGGGCATATATATATATAAAACCTTATTTTAAATAACTAAAACTAAAACTAAACATTAAAAAAAATATAGACATATAAAAACTAATAAAAATGATAAACATACAACAAAGTAGTAATAATATTCAAATAAAACGTTTCTCCTTTTGATTTAGCTTAACTTGATGCATTAAAATAACTAAAACTAAAACTGAAATAAAAATTAAAAACTACACAGACATATTAAAAAAACTAATAAAATGACAAAAGTGCCTAAAAATATTACTAAAACTTGAACTAAAATAAAATGGGAAATTGTCAGCTGTTTTTATATGCAATAATATTCAAACATTTGTCTATGATGCTTTTTTGCTATTCGCAATTCAGAAGCGAGATCAGGCTGCTGCGGAGGAGCTTCAGCACGCGCAACATGAAAGTCTTGTTTAATTATGATAGAAGAGGAAACTAAACATTCAAACATCTGCTTACACTTTAGGCCTGTGGCTGTTTTATTAAGCTAATTTAATTTTTTTATTTAGATTTTGTCTTCTAAGGATTATAGCCGCGTTTCTTCTAGAGCAACTTCTTTCCCTTCACAGCGGTGCGCATTCGTTCCTCCCTAAAACCCAAACTTAACGTCAGAATCAGCACAATAGGTGATTGTTGTAAAATGCCGTCTTCACGGTTGCTAAATTGCGGGACATGTTTGATAATAAAACGTTGAAAGCACAATCCGCACAAGAGATGCTGTTCCTCAGGCTGAAATGTGTGCATGCGCTCCAAAACGGACAAGCTAATTACACTTTGAGCTTCGGGCGCATGTCCAAACGATCAAATACACACAAAATATGTCAAAATGGCCGGCTTGGAGAGTATTTACTTAAACACAGTTTATGTCTTAAGTGGACGAGAACAGTTGGGAGAAAAGGAGGTGCTTACAGCATTGCAGAGAGCCCCCTCCTTTGAACCGCTGCATTCTGCAGAGCTGAAAATTCTGTCAATGAAGACAGTGCTCTTAACTGCGCTGGCTTCCATCAAAAGGGTAGGGGACCTGCATGCATTTTCGGTCAATGATTCGTGCCTGGAATTCGTGCCGGCTAACTCTCACGTTATACTGAGACCCAGGCCCTGATATGTGCCCAAGGTTCCCATCATGCCCTTCAGGGATCAGGTGGTGAGCCTGCAAGCGCTGCCCTCGGAGGAGGCAGACCCAGTCCTAGCTTTGCTATGTCCTGTTCATGCTTTGCGCCTATACGTGGATCAAACGCAGAGCTTCAGGACCTCAGAGCAGCTCTTCGTCTGTTACGGAGATTTGGACAGGACCCTCCCTGCGGACAGGATGTAGATTCCACTGCGTCCCTGGAAAGGGCAAAGCTTTCCCAGTGTTATCCAATAGTCTTACTGTGTGGGTCAAGAGGAACAACAGTAATAGACTCTCTCCACGTAAGCCCTGTCCTATCTTCCGCCCCAGTAGCCGCGGGGGGATCAGGTGGCTTAGAAGTAGCAGTAGTGGCGCTTTGTTAGGGATCCCAATTCGTTGGTACGTTCTGATGTGACCGACTGAAAGGGAACGTCTCGGTTACGTATGTAACCCGCATTCCCTCACGTCGCGTCGCCACAGTTGCTGTACCACTGCGGGGCGCTGGGTCACCGGCTCAGCTCCTCAGCGAAAACCTGAATGTGTGTTGCACCCGCTTCCACTTTTATACCCGCGCTGCAGGCGGAGCGTGAAATGCAAATCTCGCACACTAATGTGCATTGGCTTATTTAGTTTACACTCGAAGGTGATAGGGCTTTCAGGCAAAATCCCAATTCGTCAGTACACCTGACTGACATGACATGTCCGTTCCCTCCTTCCCTCCACATACGTAATCGAGACGTTTGCTCTGTATCAGAGTTTACCTTCCGAATGAACAGTCTTCTGACGGCTTTATTATCGAGTCCTGAGCTGGCGAACTGCTTCTTCTCATATTCTGGAGGAAGATCGCTGTGTCCCAGCTTACCCATCGCCACTTATGTCACAAAACAAAACTTAGTTTAGAGCTTATTAACAAAGAGTATCTGTCATATAAATTTATCTGTCAGTATAAATTGCATATTGCAAATTGCACATATGTGACCCTGGAGCACAAAACCATCAAATAAGTAGTACAGGTATATTTGTAGCAATAACCAAAAATACATTGTATGGGTCAAAATTATTGATTTTTTTTTTATGCCAAAAATCATTAGGATATTAAGTAAAGATCATGTTCCATGAAGATATTTTGTAAATTTCCTACTGTAAATATATCAAAACCTCATTTATGATAAGTAATATGCATTGCTGAGAACTTCATTTGGACAACTTGAAAGGTGATTTTCTCAATATTTAGATTTTTTTGCGCCCTCAGATTCCAGATGTATTGTCCTATCCTAACAAACCATAGGCTACATCAATGGAAAGCTTATTTATTTAGCTTTCAGATGATGCATAAATCTCAATTTCGAAAAATTGACCCTTATGACTGGTTTTGTGCTCCAGGGTCACATGTGAGATTGAAATATCTCACCGTATGGAAGCGGCTTTTTGTCCGGTCCGCCTCTGTAAGGATCTGCAATGTAAGGAGCTGCTGTAGGATATGGATGCTGTGGATATCCAGAGCCTTCCTGTCTGTACATGGGATTCCCAAAAGCGGTCGGCGGAGCGTACGGGGGTGCGACGGGTACAACGACGGGAACACCAGGATTCGATCCTCCATGAGGAACAGCAGCATTATAAGGTGGCGGTGGCGGCATCATGAAGCCCGGCGGGGCCTGCTGATTCACCTCGCTGTACTGAGGAGGGTTTTCAAAGCGAGTGTAGCCACTTTTGCTTTGTGCCATGACTGGATCTTAGTTCTGTGGGGAAAAAAAGGGATATATATATATATAACTTTTAGTGTGACCACGGTTTAAGTAATAAATGTAGCCTAAATATCAGGTATTTGTTTAAATATTTGATGCATATTTTAACTATTTAATTAAATAATAAAATCTCACACATCTCACATGGCACTGTAACCAATAAATGTTAACTGCAAACATATAGTGGAGAGTACATGTTGATTTGGTAGTTTGATTGATAGCTTTATCAGATGATTTAATATGCCTAACCATTTGATCGTGTATGTTTGGATCATAACCATATGGTAACCTGTGTTAACTCTTCTTCATTCAAAGCTTCATAACAAATAATCATCCCATGTAATTATGAACAACTATTAACTCAAATAGTGTGAAATAACAGAAACAAAATGTATCAAAGTAGAATTGTGCAAGTTTTGATCATTCATATGTACTTTTTATTTCACTTACTTCATATTGTAATAATAATAAATATTATTATATTAATGATCAGGCAAGTTTAATATATGATGATGGTACGACGGTGAGCCTGAAGTGGTGGTCCGATATCTGGAAATCTGATCTTACTATCTGGGCATTTGCTTACAGATTGGACCTGTATATAAAGATTGTATATACAGATTGGATATATACATACATACAACTAAATACATCTCTAAAATGCCCCCATGCTGGAGTCCTCCTGAGAATATATAATAATAAATTATATATAATAAATGATATGATAAACTTGATATGATAAATATGATGTGGTGTCTATATATTTATATATTTAACAATATAGATTAAATTGTCTACATATAGAGCGTTCTCTCTCAAAACCAGTTGAGTTCGGACAAACTCTTCCTGTTTACTTACAGCTTGTAGTGGTTCATACAGCTCCGTATGTTCACAATGGAGCGGTGCATAGAGTTTTATTTTGAACTTGGACTCAAGTATAAAGAAATACAGTCAGTGCTTAGTTCAAGGTACGGTTTTAGGACATTCTATAACGCTTAATGTGCCATAATGTTTTAAAACCAAATTCGATAATAATAAATACTGATAAAATTATTTGGCTAATATTAACCTTATTAATAATATTACTATTAATAAAGCAGAATAATATGAACGCAACGCCCTGCACGTTAAGCTTTTTCTCCCCCATAGAAAACGCTTAAGGTAGCCCTGTTGAAAAAAACAGCATATGCTGGTTAGGTATGTTTTGAAGCTGGGATGCTGGTTTGAGCTGGTCCTTTGCTGGTTTAAGCTGGTCCTTAGCTGGTCAGCTTCAAAACATACCTAACCAGCATTTGCTGTTTTTTTCAACAGGGAGGCTAATGAATGAAGAAGGTGATTTTAAAATACCACATCTGTTTACAGTTTACCCAGTTTTCTCCCCAGTAGACAACACATTATAAAAAACTCTTAGAAGGTTGCTTTTCTGTGCATATGTGTATATTTTTTATAAAATATAGAACTTGGGTTTTTACAAAAAATACTCTTTTTTTATATTACGCCACGTTAAGCACGCTTTTCTATGAGAGAGAAAACACTTATTGCTTAACTTAAAACTAAAATACAATCAATTCACTAATTTTATGACTAATATGTTAAATTATTTAAAAAATATTATACAAATAAATAACAGCACCACCTCTCAACGTATTCTGTCATATTCTGTGTTTCGGAGCAGCTCGAGCCGTTTCTCATCGCACTACAATAAAGGCTCAAAACCTCGGTATGAGTATATGATAAACAGGTTTGGAACGACATGAGGGTGAGTAAATGATGACAGAATTTTCATTTTTGGGTGAACTATCCCTTTAAATCAGCACTATGTAACTTTTTCTGTGATCAAAATTGGCTAAATGTATATAATGAGCGAGTCCATCATGAATTCATCTTCCAAACCGCGTTTTTGTCTTATCCCGAATCACAACGGTACACTTATAATAAGTACTCGGGTCGTCACCGCTGCGGAGTAACACATACCTGCGTGAATCGCCATAGACATAAACTTAGAGAAGTAGCTCCGGTTAGAATGTTCTTCCGCGGGATGTGTGCAGTTCTGTTTATTAACCACTAGAGAGCCAAAAGTTACATCGTGTTGCTTTAACGCGCAGGGCGTTGCGTTCATATTCTGCTTTATTAATAAGGTTATTAGCCTAATAATTTTATCAGTATTTATTATTATCGAATTTGGTCCTCCAATGTCACTGTTTTAAAACATTAAGGCACATTAAGAGTTTTAGAATGTCCTAAAACCGTGCCTTGAACTAAGCACCGACTGTATTTCTTTATATACTTGAGTCCAAGTTCAAAATAAAACTCTATGCACCGCTCCATGGAGCTGTATGAGCCACTGCAAGCTGTAAGTAAACAGGAAGAGTTTGTCCGATGAGAACGCACAACATTTGAAGAATATTTTTTCCTCCCACCCCGATTTTTTTCCACCACCATGTCCTTTTAGGGGCCCCGTAAGATTTCCATTCAGTGAACTCTGGAATGCTCTTAAACCACTATGTAAAAGAAGAAAAAAAACTAAAACAGACGATTAAATATTTTACAGCAGAACGATTAAAATACACGTACTTCACATTACTATGATATTACTATCACAGTATTCAATACGAATATACGAGTGCTAACAATAACAAAATAACAATGCACGAGAACAAAAGAGACAAATCAGTGTAAAGTCAATACAGTGATGAACTTACATGTCGCTGCGGACTGGAGAGTAAAACTGGGGTTTACGCTGTTGGCTCGCCAAATAATCTTTAACTTGTTGTTTTGAAACAAAACCATCAGTTTTTTTCTTCTTCTTCTTTTTTTTTTTTTTTTCTTTTTTAAACACTCCTATTCCTGTGAACGCGGTTCCTGGCTTCCCGTAAGTACAGCCTACAGCCCTGCAGAGCCATTGAGAAACAGAGTTGCGACACCAATGTCATGCACATACAGGCACAAAAGAATTGGGACCCCCCCTTCTTTAGAAGAGAAAAATGTATGAAGGTAGAATGACGTCAAAAAGATTTGCATACGCAGGGTAAGAGTTGTGGAAGTGTACATAAGACTGTAAGCGTAAATTAAATTAGCATGCGCAACAGAAGCTTTGTAAAGGTGTAAATCGTGTTTCAAACGCAAGAAAAAAATATTTGCAGCATTTTACTGTTATTCGTATGTGTAACTCATGTATTGTGAAACTGCAGCTTCATGCTAACGCAAAATAAATATGATCTGCATGCTTCTGACTTCCATTTTTCCGCGCTTACACTTTTGCCATGTTTTTTTCGCCAAAAGATGGTCAAAAGCACTGCAAGTCTGTGAACAGTGATTCGCAAGCGAAAACAACTAAAGAACTGCAAAACGGATTGACTGCATAGAACCAATCTGTATGTTTTAAAAAAACAAACTGTTGCAAATGTCTAAATGACTTGTGTATGTGGGGCAAAAAGTTCCCGAAATAAACCGATATGTACAGCTCCGTCTTTCTTTTCACTGCGCTTACAATTCTGGCACGATTCTCTCACTAATGCCGTTCACACTACACGATTTGCAAACTCATCAGATCGCCGTTGTTTTCACACTGCGTGACTATCTAGGGTAGCATTCAGTTGTTGCTGTGTTCACACTGCACGATGGATCGGCGACAGGGGGTTTCACACTGCATGACTTCACAATAGGAAGAATCGCCGACAGCTCTGTCTGGTCCGCAAACTACGTTTCACAACAAAACACAAGCGCCAATAAGGAAATAACGCGAGAACCCGCGTGCATCAGACCGGAGTTCTCCAGCAAGACTGGAATTATTTTAAAATATATATATAGCCCGCAAATTGTCTGTGAGCTGATTTCCAGCTACAAGGTAAAAAAGAAAAACAGATTATGCAGGAGGGAGGCACATGTTCTCCCCAGCCAGTGGTACCCAAACATTCAACAAAAGAGCAGTTTCCTATTTCTCCGGGTCTAAAGAGGACGAGGATGGCGGTGTGCGAGACACGGCCTCGACACTCCCGTCCACCTCTCCTTTCGCCAGCGGGCAGCAGGGCCCGGTTCGAGGACGATATGCCTTCTCACGCGCCCCCTGCCCAACCATGGAGCCAGGTAAGTGTTGCACCGCACACTCAGACCCCACTCCGGGACACTGTGCCTTCCAGGTCGGGTCCCTGTGCTCCACCGCGCTGCCCCACTGCGGGTACGTCGGTGGTTCCCCTAGTTCTGCTTGTTCGGGTCCTGGGGGCCTGGCTAGCACTCCCCAGACCGTCTCGTTGGCTCACGAGAACAATCAGACTTGGCTATGTGATTCAGTTCGCCCGGCGTCCTCCCAAGTTCAGGGGCATTCAGTTCACCTCTGTGCCGAGCAAGGATGCTCCCCTCTTGCGAGCGGAAATCGCAGTCCTACTGTCGAAGGACGCGATAGAGCCGGTCTCTTCAGCCGATATGAAGTCAGGGTTTTACAGCCCCTACGTCATTGTACCCAAGAAAGGCGGTGGGTTGCGACCAATCCTGGACCTGCGCATTCTGAACCGGGCCTTTCACAGGCTCCCGTTCAGGATGTTGACGCAGAAACGTATCTTTCGATACTGGGGCATATGGCATCCGCTGCCGCGGTCACGCCGCTCGGATTGTTTCATATTGTTTATTATTCAGCACTGGCTTCACGACCGAGTCCCGAGATGGGCATGGCAACGCGGTACTTACCGGGTTCCAGTCACACCGTCTTGCCACCAGACCTTCAGCCTGTGGTCGGACCTTGCTTTCCTTCGGGCAGGGGTTCCCCTAGTGCAAGTGTCTAGGCATGTTGTTGTCTCAATAGCCATAGGCTGTGGTGCCATCTGCAATGGGCATGCAGCGTCGGGTACCTGGACAGGGCCTTGTCTGCAGTGGCATATCAATTGCCTCGAGTTTCTAGCAGTATGGCTTGCTCTGCGCCGCTTCAAAACGCTGCTACACGACAAGCATGTACTGGTCCGGACGGACAACATTGCAACTGTTGCGTACATCAACCACCAGGGCGGTCTACGCTTCCGTCGCATGTCGCAACTCGCCCACCATCTCCTCCTTTGGAGTCAGAAGCATCTGAGGTCGCTTCACGCCGTTCACATCCCAGGCGAGCTCAATTGTGCAGCCGACAGGCTCTCACGTCAGCCCGCCCTTCCGGGAGAATGGCGACTCCACCCCGAGACACTCCAGCTGATCTGGAGACGCTTCGGAGATGCTCAGGTAGACCTGTTTGCCTCCCCGGACACGTCCCAGTGCCAGCTGTTTTACTCCCTGTCCGAGGGGACCCTCGGCATGGACGCGCTGGCACACAGCTGGCCTCGGGGCCTACACAAGTATGCATTTCCCCCAGTGAGACTCTGTGCAAGGTCAGGGAGGACGAGGAGCAGATCCTCTTAGTAGCGCCATACTGGCCCAGTCGGACTTGGTTCCCAGAACTAATGCTCCTTGTGACAGCCCCTCCTTGGCTTATTCCTCTGAGGAAGGATCTCCTTTCAAAGAGAGGGGGCACCCTCTGGCACCTGCGCCCGGACCTGTGGAATCTCCAAGTGTGGTCTCTGGATGGGACACGGAGGTTCTAGGTGATCTGCCCCCAGCGGTAGTTAACACCATCACTTCAGCTAGAGCGCCCTCTACGAGGCACGCCTACGCACTGAAGTGGAACCTGTTCTTCGATTGGTGTTCTTCCCGGCGGGAAGACCCCTGTAGATGCCCGATCGTGGTCGTTTTCTCCTTTCTGCAAGAAGGGCTGGAGCGAAGGCTGTCTCCCTCCACCCTCAAAGTGTATGTTGC